TGTCGGTGCAGAGGGGTGCTCCGGGGGGCTGCAGGGGCTGCCTTGGGGTTTTCACTGTGGCTGGTGAGGGAGGGACGTGCTTTCCCAGGGAGCGAGTTACGCATGTGTGTTTTGGAACGGTGGGTGTGATCCAGCCAGTGCATTCCCCCTCGTCCTGCTGTCCTGCCTGAGCGGGTGGCTGTTCTGCGGGGAGACTCTTCCTCTGGGTGTGAGGGTGGAGGGAGTCCACTTTGTGGGGCTGTCTGCTGTCTGACTCAAAGGCGATTTCCGGGTGAGTTCAGTCCCTGCTTTCGGGGACGTCGAAGGGCGCTGGTGGCTTAGGGGTAAGGAGTTTCGCTGCCAACGCAGCAGCACGCGGGTTCACATGCACCAGCTGCTCAGTGGCATGAAGCCAGCAGTCTCCTCCCGTGCAGTCCCTGCTCTGAGGACCCGCCGGAGGGTCCACCGTGGGTGGGTCAGCTCCGCCTCCACAGCACACAGCCACAAGGGCCGCAGCCTCCGAGGTGCCGCTGGCCTCTGGCAGGCCAGCAAGTCTTCTTTGAAGGGTTTTGTTCCGCACCTTCCTCTCACTGCCCTCCCGACAGCGGGCACCACCTGGACCATCTCCTCTCAGACGGCTGCAGTCCACGGCGCCCATCAGTTTTTGAACTGTTTTCCAGAGTCTTTTGATTTTGTTCCTCTTCCGTCCTCTCACCAACAGGAGTTTTCCTCTTCAGTGGGGATTCACGGGCCTTCAGGTCCCAGTGTCCACTCCCTGGAGTGGGTGCAGGCCACTGTCCCTGTGGACAGCTGAGCCCATCGAGGCCGCTGTGTCCTGAGACTCCGTTCCTAATCCCTGGGACTCATCCTTAGCACCTTTGCTTCTAAGACGTTTCTGTACCTTTGCCCCCTGCTCGCTGGACACCTCGGTCGACTTACAGCACCCACAGATACACACGGAGAAAGAGTTTCTGAAAGGCTGGTAGCCAGTCCTTTCTTCCTAAGTGCCTGGGGTGGGTCTTGAACCTCCAACCTTACTGTTGCCAGCACCTCCCGGGAGCTTCTGCCCTGTTCAAGCATGGCTTATGAGCCTCGGATTCTGAGAACCCCAGGGGGCTCCCAGGAACCTCACCAGCTGCCTCACCTTTCTTGTGTTCTGTGTAAGGAAGGCGGTGTCGCAGAACAGTGTGTTACATATTTAAAAAGCAAGAGAGGGGACATTTTCCTTCAGAAAAGAGACCAGATTCCTGGCACTTTGTTTCAACAACTCTTGCCTCTAACCCCCAGGGCTCCAATTCCCTGCTCTAGTCCAAGGTCAGCTCAGCTTACCTAGGAGCCAGAAGGTCAGCATTTTGACACTTCAGGCTAGACTACCAATTTTGGCCCTTGTAGGAGGAAAGTAGCCACAGCTACAAATGGGTGTGACCATGTGCCAATAAAACTTTGTTGATGGACACAGACCTGTGAATTGAAATAGTTTTCCTGTATCATGCACACAATAGTCTTCTTTTGATCTCTAAAAACTGTGACAAGCAACCATAAAAAATATCCAACTAGGGAGCTCTGGTGGCCTAGTGGCAAGAAGCTGCATTGCAGTCCCGGAGGTGAGCGGTTCGAATCCACCAGATGTTCTCCTGGAGAAGGAGGGGCAATCTCCTCCTGTACCTGTCAGATCCGATTTGACGGTACACACACAAAACAAACAAACAAAAGTAAAAAATCCAACTGTAAAAAATACATTTTTTTATAAAAAAAGGAAACTTTCAATGAATGAATGGAAATCCAAACTCTCTGTAAATGTTCATTAAAATTATTAAAAAAAAATAAAATATATAGAGTTTATAGACCTTGGCTCGGAGCTTTTTACAATGAACTCATTTAGCCCTCCAGAGAGCTCTGGGGCCTGTTGTTGTTGTTATGTGCCTTTGAGTTGACCACGATTCATAGCGACCCTGTGTGCAGTCATTCTGAATCCTGCTCTATCCTGAGCCTGTCTCACTGTCTCTGACACATTCACTCTCATTACCCCAGTTACTGTGTCAATCCATCCTATCCGAGGTCTTCCTCTCCTGTGCTGTCCCTCCACCCAAGCATGATATCTTTCCCCAAGGACTGGACCCTCCTAGAATCATGCCCAAAACATGTGAGATGGAGCCTCAAAATCCTTGCCTCCAAGGAGCAGCTTGGTTTCACCTTGTCCATGACAGACCTGTTTGTTCGCTTGTCAGTCCATGGTATGTTCAATACTCTTCTCCAACACCACAACTCCAAGGCATCAATTAGTCTGTCATCCGTGGTCACTGTCCAGCTCTCTGATGCATAGCAAGTAATTGCAAAGACCAAGGCCTGGATCAGGTGCACCTTAGTCTCTAAATTGACATCATTGCTCTTTAGAGCTCTGGAGGGGTCTCTGATGGCAGATTTTCCTAACTCAATTCACCTTTTGAGTTCCTGACTGCTGGTGCCAAGATTTTGGCTGTGGAACTGCTGAAATTGTTAGCAATCTCAAGCCCTTTTCCATCTGTCATGGTGCTTCCAATCGGCCCAGTGGTGAGAATCTTTGTTTCCTTGATGTTGAGCTTCAATTCATATTGAAGATACAGTCTTGGACTTTCTGCAGCAAATGCCTCAGGTCCTCCTCAGTTTGAGCAAGCAAGGTTGTGTCGTCTGCATAACGCAGGTTGTTGATGAGTCTTCCTCCAATCCTGATGCCACGTTCCTCCTCATAAAACCTGGCTTCCTGAATGATCTGTTTCACATATAGACTGAAAAGCTTGAAGACAGGACGCATCCTTGACACACTCCTTTCCTGATTTTGAACCATGCAGTGTTTCCTTGCTCTGTTCTGATGGCTGCTTCCTGGTCCAGGTATAAGTTTCACATAAACACAATTAAGTGTTCAGGGATTCCCATTCTTCTCAACATTAACTGTAATTTGCTATGATCCACAGAGTCAAATGCCTTTACATAGTCAATAAAAAACACAGATATTCCTCTGGAACTCTCTGCTTTTGGCCAAGATCCACCTGACACTGGCGATGATGTCTCTGGTGCCATGGCCTCTTCTAAACCCAACTTGTATTTCTGATAGTTCTCTGTACTGTTCCAGTCAATTTTGAATGATCTTCAGCAGGATTTTGCTTGTGTGTGATATTAGTGTTATTGTTCAATAATTTCCACACTCTATTGGTCCACGTTTTTTTTTTGAATGGGAATAAATATGGATCTCTTCCAGTCAGTTGGCCAGGTAGTTGTCTTCCAGATTTTATGGCACAACCTGGTGAGCACAACCAAGGCAGTAGCATGTGTTTATTGAAATATGCCAGTTGATACGCCATCAATTCCTGAGACCTTGTTTTTTGTCAGTTCCCTCAGAGGAGTTTGAACTTCCTCCTTCATCACCATTGCCTCTTGAACATAAGTTGTTTCATGACATTCTTCTGTGTCAGCCAGAGTTCTTTTTGATACAGTGACTCTGTGTACTCCTTCTGTCTTCTTTTAATGTTTCCTGGGTCGTTCGATATTCTGCCCACAGCATCCTTATGTATTGCAACTCAAGGCTTGAATTTGTTCTTTGGTTCCCTCAACTTAAGAAATGTTGAGTGAGTTTGTTCTTTCTTATTTTCCGCTCTTGCTCTTTGCTCATTTCATTATAATACTTTTTTTGGTGACCTAGTTGGCAGCATCAGGATGGATGGTGAAGAGATTGAGATTGTACACAGCTTTAGCTTGCTTAGCTCCAGAGTCAACAGTCTTGGCACCAGTAGCCAGGAAATTAAAAGGCACATTGCCATGGGAAAGTCTGCTGTTAGGGACCTCTCTAAAGTACTGAAGAGCAGTGGTGTCTCTCTGGAGACTAAGGTGTGTCTGATACAGGCCATGGTCTTCGCAATCACTTGTTATCAGAGAGTTGGACAATGACCAAGGAGGACAGAAGGAGAATTGATGCCTTTGAGCTGTGGTGCTGGAGAAGAGTATTGAGAGTACCATGGACTGCTAGAAAAACAAACAGATTTGTCCTGGAAAGGGTTAAACTGGGTGGCTCCTTGGAAGCAAGGATTCTGAGGCTCCGTCTAACATACTTTGGACATGTTGTGAAGAGAGACCGGTCCTTAGAGAGGGACATCATGCTTGGTAGGGTGGCGGGACAGTGCAGGAGAGGAAGGCCCTCTATGAGGTGGATTGATTCAGTGACTGGGGTAATTGGGATGGGAGTGTCAGAGACAGTGCGATTGGCACAGGACAGAGTGGAGTTTAGGGCTGTTGTACATAGGGTCGCTATGAGTTGCAAGTGACTCGACGGCACATAACAACAACAACAACAGTGGTAGGGATTTGTGGAGCCAACCCAAAGGCAGGCAGTTCGAATCCACCAGCTGTTCTGTGGGAGAAGGATGGGCAATCTCCTCCTGTGCGATTTTACTGCCTCGAAAACCCACCGGGGGCTCAGCTTCGTGTCACTTCTAACTGGAAGGTACACAACACCAGCACTAACAATGACCTCTCACGTCGCCTTCCCCGTGTCAACTTCACAAGGCAAGGCCGAGGCAGTGATGGCGCAGTGGAAGAACTGTTGCCTTCCACGCTGGAGACCAGGGTTTGATTCCCAGTTAGTGCTTCTCATGCACAGCCATCATTCTGTAGGGGTTTGTGTTGCTGTCATTCTGAGCAGCTTTCAGTGGGGTTTCCAGGCTGAGACAGACCAGCCAGGAAGAAAGGCCTGGGGATCTATTCCTAAACTCAGACGGCGCCACTCCTGCCGGTCATGGCGACGGCGCAGGACTGGGCAGGGATTCAGGCCGTCGTGCGTGGGGTCACCTTGAAGCAGAGACTGGCTCCACCGCCCCTAAGAGCAACACCAAGAAATGGGGTCCACATGCCACAGCGGGGGAACTGAGGCACAAAGAGGGGAAGTGGTTTTCTCAGGGTCCAGGGCCGGTGTGGCCTGGCCGTGGGTCCGGGTGGGCCCCGGCTCCCACCTGGGGGTCTCTGCACGGACACTGAGTGTGTGATGCCCGCAGGCCCGGGCGAGAGCGGGAAGAGCACGTTCATCAAGCAGATGCGCATCATCCACGGCGCCGGCTACTCGGAGGACGAGCGCAGGGGCTTCCGGCCGCTGGTCTACCAGAACATCTTCGTCTGCATGCAGGCCATGATTGAGGCCATGGAGCGGCTGCAGATCCCCTTCGGCAGGTCCGAGAGCAAGGTGAGTGGGCGTCTCTCCCCAGGCCTGTGGGGCTGTCTCCCCTGAGGTCACCCCAGACCCTCTCAGACCCTCCAGATGGGTCATGTCTCCCCTGAGGTCACCCCATATCCTCTCAGACCGTCCAGATGGGTCACGTCCCCCTGAGGTCACCCCAGACCCTCCAAGTCAGTCATGTCTCCCCTGAGATCACTGCAGACCCTCTCGGACCCTCCAAATGGGTCATGTCTCCCCTGAGGTCACCCCAGACCCTCTCAGACCCTCCAGATGGGTCACGTCTCCCCTGAGGTCACCCCAGATCCTCTCAGACCCTCCAGATGGGTCATGTCTCCCCTGAGGTCACCCCAGATCCTCTCAGACCGTCCAGATGGGTCACGTCCCCCTGAGGTCACCCCAGACCCTCCAAGTCAGTCATGTCTCCCCTGAGGTCACTCCAGACCCTCTCAGACCCTCCAAGTGGGTCATGTATCCTCTGAGGTCACCCCAGACCCTCTCAGACCCTCAAGGTGGGCTACATCTCTCTTGAGGTCACCCCAGACCCTCTCAGGCCCTCCAGATGGGTCATGTCTCCCCTGAGGTCACCCAAGACCTTTTCAGACCCTCCAAGTGGGTCATGTCTCTCCTAAAGTCACCCCAGACCCTTTTAGACCCTCAAAGGGGGCGACATCTCTCCTGAAGTCCACCCCAACTCTCTCAGATCTGAAGGTGGGGTTCACATTTCCCCTGAGGTCACCTCAGACCCTCTCAGACCCAAAGAAGGGTCCATATGTCCCCTGAAGTCACCCCAGACCATCTCAGATGCCAGAGCAAGGCCATGTCTCCTCCTTGGCCCTCTTTAGGCACCCCCAGACCCCAAAATGCACCTTGAGACAAAGCTGTCAAAGCTTCATCCCTTATACCTTGGGCCTGAGCCCGGCAAGGCTGTTCCTTGGAAAGGGACATCATGCTTGGAAAGACGGCAGGACAGCAAAAGAGAAGAAGCCCCTCAACTGGGTGGATGGACACAGTGGCTGCAGCCCTGTGCTCCGGAGTGTCAGAGGTCATGAGGACGGCGCAGGACAGGACAGGGGTCAGGGGAGCCGTCCACAGGGTCACTGGGAGTCACACTCGACTCAATGGCACCTAACAACATCGACAGATCCCAGCTCGGGGCCTCGGCTCCCCACATCGATCCCCTCAGGCCCAGGGCAGAGCTGTGTGTCCGGCTCAGAGTCGTTCAGGTCCCAGGGCTGGCCAGCCCCCCCCCCTCAACCTTCCCTGAGGCAGGCATGGGCTGCCCTCTCCTTTCTGTAAGCACATCATCGCACTGCGTGGGGGCTGCCGGGTGCCAGGCTGACCTCACATGACCCTGATCCCAGACAAGGTCACGGTCACAGGTACGGTGGGACTGGCGCGTGTGTTGTCTTAAATGCAATGCACTTAATGATATGCATGCCCAACGTTAAATACCAAAGGGTCCTCCAAACTCCTCATCTGTTTTCTGACATGTGGGCCCCGTGTGTCCCCACAACTGCCCGCTGTGGGCCCTGAGGCCGGGACCTTTGGCAGCAGATCCAAGCTTTCTTCCACGGCCTCGGGGCATTTGAACCCCCAGCCCTTTGGCTTTGGGGGTCATTCGTCACAGGAGGGACAGGGCTAGGGGAGACGCCCGGAGGGGCAGCTCTGACCGGCCTGCCTCACCTCCCGCAGCACCACGCCAGCCTGATCATGAAGCAGGACCCCTACAAAGTGACCACGTTTGAGAGGCGCCTCGCCCTGGCCGTGCAGTGGCTGTGGAAGGACCCCGGTGTCCGCGCCTGCTATGAGCGGAGGCACGAGTTCCATCTGCTGGACTCAGCCATGTAGTGAGTGAGGGGGGCGGGGCGAGGGCCAGCGTGGGGGCGGAGCCTGGAGGCAACACCATTCTTGGGGGGCCTTGTTCTGCAGTGATTTCATTCCTGGGGTGAAGTTCCTCCTGTGGGGCTGCTGCTGTTTGAGTGACCACTCCAGGGGTTACACTGCTTCTTGGGGTAACCCTGTTCCAAGAAAATACCATTTCTGGGGGGATTTGTCATAGAATGCACTGTTCACAGAGTTCCTAGGGCTCTCGGCTCCCAGAATGCTACTATTCTTGGGTGACACCAGTCCATCTAGGGTCCCTGCCTGGGGAGGCTGTTGCTGGTGGATCCCCGTTCTCAGAGCTGAGCTGCTCTGGGGGTGTGGCTTTCCTGGGGTGACTGTTCCCGAGGAAAAGCTCCTGTTGTCCCCCTGCTCTCAGAGGGTGCTCGTCCAAAGAAGAATGGCCTCTCATTAGTACCCCCACTGCCTCGGAGGTGCACCCTGTTTCCCCAGTTCCCAGAGGTTCTGTCCCTCCTGGGGGACTCCTACCCTGCAGCACAGTCCTCTCTGAACCTGGGAGGAAGGGGGTCTCAGAAGCCAGGGACAACCGGAAGGCTGGGCATCAAGGTTTCTTGTTCCGCAGCTACCTGACCCACCTGGAGCGGATCACGGAGGAGGGCTATGTGCCCACAGCGCAGGACGTGCTCCGCAGCCGCATGCCCACCACGGGCATCAACGAGTACTGCTTCTCTGTGCAGAAGACCAACCTGCGGTGAGCACTCAGCCAGGCCCACCTGCGGGAGGGCAAGGGCGCTGGGGCTCTGTGGGATGAGTAGGAGTTCCTTGATCTAAGCCCTCCACGAGCTGTCAGGCTGGAGGAGGCAGAGCTGGACAGAGACTCCTCCATGGTCATGGTTAGGACAGGGCAAGGCCTGGGGGGGGGCCTCCAAGAGGGGAGGCATTGATGAACCAGAGTCCCGAGGCCTGACCCTGGAGAGGTGACTGATGACAGGGAGCTGGGACGGGGCAGCGTGGAGACAGGGCTTGTGTTCAGCCGCCCTGTGCTTTCTCCTTCCTGTAAACGTGCTGTCTCGTCTCTGTGATGGTCTTTACCAGACAGGTTCTGAATTGAGGCATATTCCACCAGAGTCCTCCACTAGACACAGTCCCTAAGGTTAGAGTCCCATTTGGTTCTCCTGTTTCTCTAGTGGTCAGCTCAAGGTCCAGGTGGGAACTGGTTAATGTGGATGTGTGGGTGGATGGGCGTAAAGATGGAGGGATAGGTGGGCAGGTGGATAAACGAGTGGGTGGGTCGGTAGCTGGATGGATGAATGGATAGAAGGATCAATGGATGGGAGAGGGCTGGGAGGATGGTGGTAAGGTGATTAACTGTGTATACAAGGATGGGTGGGTGACAGAACAGTGGATGGGTTGGTCAATGGATAGATGGATAGGATAGAGTAAGTGGACGGAGGGATGCATGGATGGATGGAGGGATGGATGAAGGGATGGGTGTGGATGGATGGAGGGAGAGATGGAGGGAGGGAGGAAGGGATGGGTGTGGATGGAGGGAGGGAGAGATGG